TCTTCATTTCATTCAATGTTTCACTTAGAATAGTCACGAGAATATAGTGGACAATGTTAACTAGAACTCACCACCTAAAACGGTCGTAGAGCGTCTTTCAAGGCGAATTTTAACCACCAAGTTCTGCCCCTTCCAAACGCACACGCCGCCATCTTGCACTGAGCGGCGTGGTCCTACCACCTGTTCATGAATCACCAGAATTTGCATATTTCTCAATTAAGTCAAAATTTTATTAGATATAGCGTAATAGACATGCAGCATGCAGGCAATTGCAAACGTATAATTTAACTTCAACAAGATATTTCTTTGATCTTTTATTTCAATTGATAGTAACGTTGTGTGAAACGAGCGCCCTGATCGGTGCTTATTTTGCAATGGTTGTAACAGGTACGCAAGTCGCAATCGAGTCGACTAATATTTCATATGTGACCCTTATTGTTTTCCAGACCGATCCGAAAGCCCCTCCCACCAACCAGTATGACTTAGAAATGTGAAATAATAATAGAAAATTGCAAATATCAGACGGACATGTAGCCATCTCTCATTGGTCGAACCGAAAATTTCCATTCTCTCATTGGTTGAACTGTAGATTGTGTTACAGTCAGGGTGCACGTATTTTACAAGACCATAGCTAATCAGGTCAGTTTGTAACAGTTTATTCAGAGGAATTGCGTTCGAGCTGGTCCATATGAAATCGCCCTCAAGTTTATTATATAAAAAAAAAGGAATTCAAGAATAGTTTTTTTTATTGAACAATTAACATAATGTATTGACTGAAATGTATATAAGATGTTAAAACTTTGTTGTTCTTTTGCGAGTTAGCAACACCTACAAGAATGTTCCACAGGTTATCTGTACTAGTCCTGCCAGCCTCAAATCGCGTTCCTAAATGGCACGAAGATCTTAAAGTTTGTACATCTACAACATTCACCTTGTTAAGCACGCCTATCAGGTTATCTATTATATCAGGCCGTGTCTATACGGAATCACCCAAACCGCGATTCGGGTAACTCACATTCCTCACATCTGGTCCACGTGCCACACACACCTGCGAAACCGTGTCCGAACATAATGCGCTTGAGCTACATTTATTACTGTTTGATGATAACACGCAAGGCGGCGTGTTATTAATGTCAGAGGTCAACGACCTGCTTGCTGATGCCCCCCTCCCAGCGTATCTCGGCCGAATGCCGACGTGGTCCCGCCAGAGGCGGTGAAGCTCGCCCTAGAACGGACACATTATTTGACCATTACTGCTCTTTAAGTTGCTGCCACGTAAAAGTTGGTATTGCATATAAAAAAAGAAATATCACTCCGTATTATATATAAATCCATGACCAGGCGAAGTCACATTGAAATCACATTGCGTTCAGACGCAAATCGCGATGCGGGGAAACCGATTCGAAACCACCTCTAGAAGTGGCTTGGGCTCGAGGCGCTTTCAATGTGATTTCGGAGCGTTCAGATGGAGCCACTTGAAACCGGCTTCGGGGTAAACCACATGTAAACCGCCTTGGGTGATTCCGTTTAGACACGGCCTCAGTCCTACTATATCAGTGCGCTGTAAGCTTTTCCCCCTCCTCTTTTTCTCATGACGCAGAAGTAATGCCACCCGATAAAGACGGCCATGAAGATGACCGGGATTGTCACACAAAGAGCGACCGCCACGCCCAAGTTGTAGTGCGAACCCTTGTCGCCATCCTCCGGACATGTCTCTGCTTTGCTGAACTTTCCGTCCTGCACAGAAAACGGCTGAACTTGGACATGGCTAATGCTTAGCACGTGATTACGGTCAAGGCTGAAGGATTGTTCTGCGTCGCATTTTAAGGACGAGCCCATCGAGGCCGAAAGATGCGCGTTGGAAAAGTTAGAGTACTGAACAAGGACGGGCTTGTCGGCGGCAGAGTCGGGAAACATGTTCTTGTCCAACACGTACCCGAGGTTGACTTGAGACAACATGAACGCGTTTTCCAGACCATTGAAGGTTACGTTGGCGTCGAAGGTAAAAGTCAAGTTGAAGTGACCACTGTGTAGTCCAAGTGTTATGTGAGAAGTGTTCGGTCCACAGGAGCCACTTGACCAGGCAGACTGGGGCAGACTGACCAGGACGGATGAGGCGGTGGATGGGGATGTGGAGTACGTGATGTTGACGGTGATGGCGGCTTGTAGGATGAGACAGGGTTCTCCTGACTGGTTGACGTACCACGTTCCGGATATGGGTCCTGGGACAGTCGTGGTAGGGACGTGCAAGGTTGTGTGAATGTTGGTAGTAGGAGGCGTTGTGGTATTAGCTGATGAAGTGGTGTGAATCCGTGTGGTTTCATTGAAGATGTAGTATTGGGTAGCG